AAAATAGACATTTGAAAACAAATTTTTTTTAAGAAAGGAAAACATTCTGACACACGCTGTAGTGTGGATAAACCTTGAGGACCCGGTGCTCAGTGAAATGAGCCAGACACACAAGGGTGCAGTTAGTATGATTCCACTTATATGAGGCCTGAGAACAGTCAAATTTATAGAGACAGGAAGTAGAATGGGTGGTTGCCAGGGGCCGGGGGCAAGAGAGGATGCAAAGTTATTGTTTAATGAGTACAAAGCTGCGACTTTACCAGATGAAACAGCTATGGAGTGGACGGTGGCGATGTTATGCAACAGCGTGATTGTATCTAGTGTCACTGAACTACAGACTTCAAAATGGCTAAGGTCTGGGGCGCCTGGGTGGCTCAGTCGATTGAGCGACCGACTTCGGCTCAGGTCATGATCTCGCGGTTCGTGAGTTCGAGCCCCGCGTCGGGCTCTGTGCTGACCGCTCGGAGCCTGGAGCCCGCTTCGGATTCTGTGTCTCCCTCTCTCTCTGCCCCTTCCCCGCTCATGCTCTGTCTCTCTCTGTCTCAGAAATAAATAAACACTAAAACAAAAATGGCTAAGGTCAGGGTGCCTGGGTGGCTTAGCTGGTTAAGCATCCAACTCTTGACCTCAGCTCAGGTCATGATCTCACAGTTCGTGAGATCAAGCCCCGCGTCAGGCTCTTTGCTGGCAGCATGAGGCTGCGTGGGCTTCTCTCTTTCCCTCTCTCTTTCTGCCCCTCCCCTGCTTGCAGACTCTCTCTCTCTCTCTCTCTCTCAAAATAAACTTAAAAAAAATGGTTAGGGTGATAAATTTTATGTTATATCTATGCCACCCGATTATTTTGAAAAAGGTGATTTCCATTCTAATATTCTGAAACATGCTGTATTTTAACAAAAATATTCAGGCTAATACTGTATTCAATTCGAATGCTCTAACTTTTAAATAAAGACTTAATACAATTTTTTAATAGCTACAGGAACACTGTGCTTTCTCCTTGTAGAAAACTATACTATGAATATGTTTTCACAGAAGGGGCATCTCAGATGTGGGAGCCCATGAAGAAGATGGGACACTGGGGAATTAAGGAAGTGGTTCTCACGTACATGGTGACAGTCCCTTTCTAGCTGGGGGATAGATAAAGCACTTCAGAGGACAGGGGTCTGGCCCCAGAGGAGGATGCGGTATGGAACAAGAGAAGCACCAGTGTTTCAACCTCTAGACCAGGGGTCTGCAAACTCCTTCTGTAGAGAGCCCAATAGGAAATATTCTAGCCATTGCAAGCCAAAGGTGGTTCGTATCAGACTTTCTTCTTTGTTATGTTCTGTTTGGTTTTTACAACTCTTGAAAAATGTGAAAATCATTCTAAACTTGAAAGCTGTCCCCAACAGGCCGGGACCCTTAGAACCAAAGCAAGGGGGAGGAGGAGGGACCTCTGCACGCAGGGGAAGACTCCATTTACCTTGTCCTGTTTGTTTCTCAGGAGACCATCGGGACGCTTCTCAAAACAATCACAGCAAGACAGAGGTGAGTCCTTTAACTGAAGGGAGGGTTTGGGGGTGTATTAGTTGCCTATGGCTGCTGTAATGAACTACCACAAAAAGGGTGGCTTAGAACAACAGAAATTCTACAGCTATTCTAGAAACAGAACAGAAATTCTACAACAGCTCTGGAGACTAGAAGTCTGAAATGAAGGTATCAGCAGGGCCATGCTCACTCTGAGGTTCTAGGGAAGAATCTGCCCTGGCCTCTTCCTAGCTTCTGGTGCTTGCCTGCAACCCTTGGTGTTCCTTGGCTTACAGACCCAACACTTAGATGTCTGCTTCCATTGTCACATGGCGCTCTCCCTGGGTATCTGTGTGTCTGTGTCCAGATCTCCCTCCTCTTATAAAGACACCAGACATTGGACTAGTGCCCACCATCCTCCAATGTGACCTCATCTTAACTTGATGATATCTCCAAAGACCTTATTTCCAAATAAGGTCATAGTCACAGCCACCGGGAGTTGGGATTTCAACATATCTTTGGGGGCTGGAGGGAACACAATTCAACCCACAACAGGATGTCTTTTTGTTTTAAGACAAGGGTGAGCCTCTTGACACATTAAAAAGTACGTTATAGGGGCGCCTGGGTGGCGCAGTCGGTTAAGCGTCCGACTTCAGCTCAGGTCACGATCTCGCGGTCCGTGAGTTCGAGCCCCGCGTCGGGCTCTGGGCTGATGGCTCAGAGCCTGGAGCCTGTTTCCGATTCTGTGTCTCCCTCTCTCTCTGCCCCTCCCCCGTTCATGCTCTGTCTCTCTCTGTCTCAAAAATAAATAAACGTTAAAAAAAATTTTTTTTTTTTAAAAAGTGCATTATAATCCTAAGAAAATTTTTCCATAAAGACTTGGCTTCCAAGAGAAGCTTCTATCATTTGCTAAGCCCACGCTGTTATTTTTAAAATCACATTTGCTCGTCCTCCCCCACCTGTTTCAGCAAGTGGATTTCAGCTGGAACACGTTTGCTGACGGGAAGCTTGCGTTTTACGACCACTATCTTATCGAGCAAATCCAGTCGGGGAAAGAGTCGGAAGTTCGGCAGTTTTTCTTCTTGCTTGCAGTCTGCCACACGGTCATGGTGGACAGAATTGATGGTGAGTGTTTCCTGGCATCTCAGACACGGGGGCCCAGGTTTTTAGTTTCCAGGTAACTCGTGCCCGGCGCCCAAATGCACGTTGGGTAGTATGCATGACACGTCTGGGTGAGCATCCACCCTGATGGTCTACGAGGCAGCAAAGCGTGAGACAAGCCCCCAGTCTATGAAAATGCACATCTTCTTCACAGGGATAGCTCCCAATGCTTTTATCACTTTGCAAGTGCAATCTTATCGTTAAAAGAAACGATTGACTCTTGCATTATGCGAGAAGAATCACAATCTTCCCGCCCTGTTATTACTTGACATTTATTGAGCGTGAAGAGTCAAGTCTTATCTGGATCGTGGCTGGACTTCGAACTTGAACAATCTTTACTGCAAAATAATTTCAGAGAGAATTTATTTTCTAGATTCAGATATGTTTGGGGTTTGAAATAATACCCGCCAGAGCCTCGGCTTCCTTAAGGTGCCTTTTTCATCGGAAGGAGCATAATTAACGTGTATTTGCATGGGAACCAGCAAAGCTGACGTGTAGATTCTTTTTTAAAAAATGCTTATTTATATATTTTGAGAGACACAGAGAGTGAGCAAGGGAGGGGCAGAGAGAGAGGGAGAGGGAGGATCCCAAGCAGGCTCCGTGCTAGCAGCAGGGAGCCTGATGTGGGGCTTGATCTCACGAATCGTGAGATCATGACCTGAGCTGAAATCGAGAGTTGGACGCTTAACCGACTGAGCCACCCAGGTGCCCCTCCTTTGCAGAGTTCTTAAACGCAGCTCGTGCCAGCTTTGTTATAGCAAATTTGTCCGATGTCAGTGAAAGCCATTTTTTCACATATGGACATTACACTAAGTTACACACCTGTGCGTTATAGAAAGAGGAAATGGAACCCTTTTGGCATTTCTGCAGGGAAGCGCAGGCTGCCTGCCCATCCTGCACTTGAGTGAGTGCAGCACAGGAAGGTGCCTTTCTGTTTTCTGACCCTGAGCTTTTGTGTGTGGCAAGTGCGAAATCTCCAGAGGGGGAATACGCAGAAAAACTGAATGTGTAAAACCTCTATGTGCTATCTTTCAGCAAGTTTCAAAGAAATCCATTTTAAGCATGGGCATAATGGTCCAATAAAGCAAGATGACAGCGGAATTCAAATTGGGGCAGATACATGGAAGGTTATTAGCAGCCAAAGTGGAGGAAGACAGACATGCCAGGTCATGAATAACTCATGTAGAGGTCAAAGTCTGTTTTCTAGACAACCACGTTTTACTCATACGATAAGAATCAAGCATGATCTTTCTGAGCAACTTGGTTATTTTAGGTCTTGACTCATTAGTGAAATTATTCATCCTTTTGTGTATGTGTGTGGGGGGGTGGCATTTTGAGAGCTAACCAGCCAACTTAGGCAAATATAATTCTATGGTCTCTATTTTCTCTTCTTTTCACTGGGATATTATGGGAAGAGCCCTATTCGGCTGGAGATGGGCCAGCCCAGCTTTGGTTCCTACCGGAGCACCCAGTGTAGACCAGGATCTTCGGTCCAAGCATCAACTTCCTCAGTGTTGCGAGCAGAAGGTTGGAATTCAAGGTTCCTTTCAACCTCACATTGTGCTGGTCTCTGTCCCACTGTCTGCTGAGGCAGAGAATTGTACCTCCTGAGGAAACTTCTCTCACACAGCATGTGATGGGCCATTGCTCTAGCCACTATGAATGGAGAACGGCTTGATCTCTAGTGGGAGGAGGTTAAAAGAGAAATTGGTTTTGATACATGAAGTACCTTGAAAGGGTCTCTTGGAAAGACCTTGGGAACCCCTCCTCCAGGTATGATAGGTAAGGACATTCAGACCCCAGAAGGTACAAGGACCTGTGTGACTCAGACGGCAGGTCAGAATCCCTTCCGGTGGGATCCCCTTGCAATCCCTGGGGTGGGGTGCCTTGCTCCTGTGTTTTCTCTCTCTTTGTAAGACTAACGGAGACTGGTCAGTCTTTTATTACGCATAACATCGACAGGAGAAGGGAGGAAATCCTTTCATATCTGTTGCCATACACATCTGCCTAGTGGAGCAGACAGTGTGTGTGGCCCGAGTGCTGAGTCCCCGTGGAGGCCCATGGGGGCAAGGTGTGGAGAGGAGGCATCGGGTTTCTGTTGAATTTCCACAACTGTAATGAATTTCCACAACTCAGTAGCTGAAGACACCCATTCTTTAGCTCATTGTTCCCTAGGTCGGAAGCCTGGGCACGCATGACAGGGTTCTCTGCGCAAGATCTCCCCAAAATCAAGGTCGGTCACGTTCTCATCTGGAGCTCGGGGTCCTCCTCCGAGCTCACGTGGGAGCGCAGGATTCAGTTCTCCGCAGCTGAAGGACCGAGGCCTCCCTTCTTCCCGGCCACGTGGCCCCCTCTATCTTCAAAGCCAGCAAGAGAGAATCCCTCTTCCGTGGAACCCCTTATATGCTTTGAAGCTCTCTCCCTAGGAAAAGCCCTGTGTCTTTAAGGACTCACCTAATTAGGTGGGGAACACTCAGATAATCACCCTGTCTTGAGGTCAACTGATTTGGGCCTTCATTACATCTGCAAGATCCCTTCCCAGCAGTACCTAGACTAGCATTTTGAATAACTGGAAGGAGGTGCTATTATACTGGGGGTGAGGGGGGGGGAGGGAAGGGTCCTTGGGGCCCTCTTTGATTCCTACCTCCTGCAGAGGCTGTGTGAGAGCAGGGTGTGGAAGGCTTGGGGACCTCTTCTTCACCTGCAGGTCATTAAGTCAGGATGTGCTGTGATTAGAGGTGGCGTTGAGGAGGCGGGAGCCTGGAGACACGGAAGACTGGGTTGGAAACTGAGGGTCTGGATTATGGTGGGGTCTTTGGGAAGGATGAGGAAGCCATAGATGGGGGGGGGTGGGGAGGGCATTCAGCGCGTGACTTGAAGGGGGTGAGATTGTTGAGGGGAAGGAGTGGTCTGAGAGGTAACTTGTTTCAGGGCAGGTGACCAGGGGGTGGGCTCGTATCTGCCACAGGAAGCTACGGTGTCAGAATCACCAGAGACGGGATTTGCGGTTTGAGCATCTTTTTTCATTGGCGCCGTTTTCCTGCTCCGCAAATTAGTTTATGAAAGAAAACAATGCCTCTCTGGTTGCCTCTGAGTGTAGAGTAAATAAAAGGGCTCTCGCCAGAAATGACTGCAGAGGATTATTTTTTAGTCCTGGTTTCTTCCTACAAACATCAAGTTGGAGTTTGGACCAGCTCTCTGAATTTCTTCCTGTCTCCATTAGCCTGCAATTCTGTGACTCTATTGCTCGAACCAAGTGGGAGGGTTTTTTGTGGGGTTTTTTTGGTCATGATAACAATATCAGTGTTTGCTCCAGATATGATTGTCTCAGTCATGGGAACTTTACCACCTTTTTTCATTTCGTCGCTCTTTTTCTGTTGGAAGTAAGCTTGCCGTCAGCATGACGCGGGGAGATCACTGTGCCAGCTACACTTGCTGAAGTGGTTGTGTCCCCACTGCTGCTTGTTCAGCTCCCGGGGCTCCTGGGCACCTCAGCCGGTTGAGTGTCCTCCTCTTGATTTCGGCTCAGGTCGTGGTCTCGAGCTCATGGGATCGAGCCCTGAGTTGGAGCCTTCTTGGGATTCTCTCTCTCAGCCTTTCCTCCACTTGCACTCTCTGCCTCCCTCCCTCCCTCCCTCCCTCCCTCCCTCCCTCTCTCTCAAAATAAACATTAAAAAAATAGTTTGCCCTCTGGCAGCCATGTGTGCTTGAGGAAATGGATGGATTTGGCGTGTACATTCGTAACTTCTGATGTATGCCTTTCTGGGTGAGCAGAAAACAACCTACAGTGTCCTCTTTAATTACTAATTGGGAATTGATTGATACTGACTTGGAGTGAGCCATCTGAGCAGGCGTGCGGGGGTACAGCCCTCCCTATAGCCGATTCCCCCAGGAGCATCCTCTCCTTCTGTGTAGCCTGATGTTTTCAAAAGCTGCCCATCCATCCATGGTCTGCTTCCTGCTCAAACCATGGTGGAAAAGGAAATGCCTTTTTTCTGTAAACATTCACCTGACCGTGGAAGTACTTTTCCTTCTGCTTTGAAGCAGAATAACGAAAGTAGAAAAACGGAAAATCTTTTTCAACTTTTTACTGGAGTACAACAGGTGCACGGAGCCCAGCATGTAGCTCAGGAGGTTTTCACAAACTGAATCCTCCCGTGTCACGAGCACCCAGATTTTAAAAAACCGACCGTTATGAATCCCCCAGAAGTCCCCTGGTGTTCCCTTCCAGTCATTGCCCCTCGAGGGGCACTAGTCCTGACCTGGAATAGCACAGGGACGCTTCGTCGGTTTCGTGGTCTGTGTAGACGGAATCACGCAGTGTAGACTTGCGTGTCTGGCTTCTTTCACTCAACGTTGTGACATTTATTCCAGTTGTTGAAGCGTCCTTGTGAAGAGAAGGCAGCTTCCCATTAATTGACTTTAAACATCAAGAGGTTGAACAGACTGATGAATGTTGAGGTTTTATTTTAATATGGCTATGCTGAAGAAAGTACACTCTTCCAGAGCAAAGATAAAGTATACAACCCTTTTGGAAAACAAATGACTGATATATACCAATAGACTTGAAAAAAATCAGTATTCTCTCTCTTTATGTTTTACTTATTTAAGTAATCTCTATGCCCAATGTGGGGCTCTAACTCTCGACCTCAAGATCAAGAGTCACATGCTTTTCCGACTGAGCCAGTCAGGTGCCCCCAAAATTACCAGTTTTGTTTAGCTCAGTATTATCACTCTAGGAAGCTATCCTTAGAAAACAGTCAGTCAAACCTTTATACACCTGCAAAATGGTCACTACAATGTTATTTTTGAGAGCAGAAAATTTGGAAATAGCCTAAGTGCGTATAATTGGAAAAACGGGGACGTGTTTACATTCATTAAAATAATGTTTAGAAAGAATTTTTAAAGTTATGTCAACATGCTCAGAATATTGGGTCAAAATAACAAGAATGTAAACGTATGATAGAAACTATTACCTAATTCGGCATTTTCGAAAGGACCGGAAAGAATGATAAGAGCATGCCAGTGGCTCTGTGTTTCCTCTGGATGGTGGCAGTCTGGGAATTTGTTTTCCTATTCCTGGACACTTGTCTTCTTTTCCTCTGGTTTATATTACTGTTTGTAATTAGAAATAAAACCATAAAGTTTGAAAAGTGTTGGGGCGCCCGGGTGGTTCATTCGGTTAAGCGTCCAACTTCGCCTCAGGTCGTGATCTTGCTGTTCATGGGTTCCAGCCCCGCATCAGGCTCTGTGTTGACAGCTCGGAGCCTGGAGCCTGCTTCGGATTCAGCGTCTCCCTCTCTCTCTGCCCCTTCCCTGCTCGCACTCTGTCTCTCTCTCTCTCTCAAAAATAAATAAACGTTAAAACAAAGAGAAAAAGAAAAGTGTTAATGTTGGCATACTCTTTAAGAATCAATGATTTGTTTTCTTGGGGATGTGTTGGACTTTGTGAGACATCCTTGCCCCCCGTGTGAGCCTCAACAGTGAGCCCTCTGTCTGGTTTTTACAGATTTTCTGGTTTTCTCTCCTGCCTCCTTTGTTAGGTCAGCTCAACTACCAGGCGGCCTCTCCTGACGAAGGCGCTCTGGTGAGTGCTGCCAGGAACTTTGGATTTGCCTTTCTCGCCAGGACCCAGAACACGATCACCATCAGTGAATTGGGGACCGAGAGGACCTACAGTGTTCTTGCCATTTTGGACTTCAACAGTGACCGGAAGCGAATGTCTATAATTGGTAGGTTTCCCTCAAGAGTGTGTCTGCGAATCGCTCATTGAGAGGTTGCCTTTTATGCATTTGATTTCATGGCACCAGAATAAAACAGGCGATGGAGGGACCACTCAGCTCCTGGGAGATTTCCATGGACTTCTTGAAACACCTTTTTTCCCTTTATTCTGCATGGGGTCCATCACTCACGGGGACAATGGCAGTTTATCTTGAGTCTTGCAAATGTTGACATTCTTCAGCAATGTGAGCTGCGGCTGCAGGCTGCAGAACCTTCGGTGGTAACAGTGGGTGGTGGGTCCATAACACGTGCTTTGGTTTTGTGAGGCCGTCCGAGCCTGTCTGCCCTACACTTGGTGGCAGGGAAGGGAGAAGCAGCAGGACGGGTTCAGAGGAAAGCAAGGCTGTGCTGATGGAGCAGAAGTGAATCTCCAGGGCAGGCTGCCATTCACTGTGGCTTCCCAATATTGAAATTTTTAAGTTCACAATTAGAAACAATTTCAAATTTACAGAAAAATTGCAAAAATGGTTTAGAGAACTCTTGTATTCTCTAACTCGACTGTTGGCATTGGCCACGTGTTGTCATTTTCGTCATATACAGATTCTTGTTTCCCGAGCCATCGGAGAGTAAATTGCAGAGCTAAGGCTCCTTTCCCCTAAATACCTAAGTAGGTATTTCCTATGAACAAGAACATTCACTTATATGTAAATACGATGATCAGAATCAGAAAATTCAGTGTGAGACAATATTATTATCTAATCTGCAGGATGTTTTCAGATTTTACCAGAAATTTTCTTTTCCCTGCCTCCCTCCCTCCCTTTCTTTCTTCCTTCCTTCTTGGTTCAAGACCCAAGATTGCATACTGCAGTAGGTGATTGTTAACTTTGGTCTCCATATGGAGAAACTGTTATATATATATACGGACAAATGGATCTGTCTGATATTCCCTCGTGACTGAATTCAAGTTACGCATCGTTGGCAGGAAGGGTGCATGGATTGGTGCTGTGTCCTCCCAGCATATCACATCTGGAAGCACAGGGTTATTCGTGATGTTAGGTTTGATTGCTCAGAAAGTGTTCATGAGATTTCTCCACTATGAGATTGAGTTTTTCACCAAGAAAAATATACAAGTTCAACTGTCTACTGAACTCTGATTGGGCACATTTTACTGAGTGCTTTCTGTGTGCCTAGCACTGATCTAGGCCGATTATCATGTCTGGCATTTACCTTGAACTCAAAATCAAGTTAGCTCTGAGGCACGTACTATCATTAAATTATCTCACAGATCCAAAAATCCAAGAAAATGGTCACAAGGAGTCATGTTCTGGTCTGAGTATTAAAGGCAGTAAGCGTCCCAGGTTTATAGGTAAGAAAGATTCCTACAGCATGGACAAAGAAGGCATTATAGAAGATATTAGCACAGGGCATGGCACATAGTAGGGAATCAGTCAATATTTGCTGAGAGAATAAGTAAGGATAGGAAAAGCTGAGCTGACTACAGCATTCCTTTCGTATTTATTTCACTATATTTCATTGTATGTAGATAGTGGCTTACCGACTTTGCTGAGAGGGAAGTTTTTCTAGGTGCATTTATGATTTTAAACTAATGGTGAATTATTAGCAGAGTCACCCTTCAAATCAACTTTAGAAATGTAGTTTTCTATTAAGAAATCAAAGCTAACTTTATGATTTGCTTTTCCTTCTCTTACTACTAGTAAGAACCCCAGAAGGCAACATCAGGCTTTATTGCAAAGGCGCTGACACAGTGATTTATGAACGGTTACATCAGATGAATCCAACAAAACAAGAGACACAGGATGCCCTGGATGTAAGTCCCACCGTCACCCTTTCTGCCGCAGATTGCAAACTTCCTTTCTGATACTGTCTTGTGAGCTGAAATGAAAGCTCTGTGTGAACTGTTGACCCTTCTGTTGTCTTAGTGCAGTTGTGTGGAAAGAGCACCAGTGTAGGAAAATGGCAGCCGTGTTCTGGTTCTGCCCCTGCTGCTGACTTCCTAGGACATGACCATGGTGTTCTTTCCCGGCCTCCCGGTTGGCAGCATCTGTAGGACGGGCCCGGGGGAATGACTGGTCTGTCTTCCAGTGACCTTGAGCAAGCCACGTAACTATAGTGAGCTGTAGCCTTAGTATCTGTGTGGCCTCCAAGAATCCCACCAACCTCTTAAGGGACAATGAAGGAAAGAAAGCATTCATGTAGGATGGGGTGTGACAAAGCAATGCGTCGGATAAATGAGTTCTACCTTTGTTAGCAAATCAGTTTGGTCTTCATTACTTCAAATTTGTTATCTAAGGGGAATGTGAACTTAGTCCAGTGATACTGCAGTTATTCAGAATGCTTCTGGAAATTTCTCTCTTGGAATTGCTTACCAATCCTCACATGGTTTTGGTTCTATTAATGATGGCAATGAAGTATGGAGGATACCCATCAGACCTGGTATCCCAGTTCTGCCTCTTCGCCTGTTTTGTGTCCTTGGGGGAAACAGTTGACGCCTAGCTGAAGCATTAATGACCTGTGTGAAAGAGGAAGAGGGTAATTCCTACCAAAGAGAGTCCTTGCAAGGGAAAGATCTTGCACAATTCCCAGGATTTAGTAAGTGCTTAGTAAAGGGTGATTTCTTCCCTGGGTCTGGTCGAGTTTGGGGCCAGTCAAAGGTCCTTGAGGAAGAAGCCTGTATATGTTGTTTACTTACGGGGGTCTCGTTTTAAGATTGATAGGTAGGTGGTTGAAGCAGTTACGATAGATCATTTCTCATGAGGATATGAACACTGGCAATTTAATCAAACAGATGCAGAACCTTCCAAAGAATCTTTGAAAGCAAACACTTAGTTGGGTGATGCGTTGGAACAAGATGTGACTGAAGTACTAAAAACATTTTTACTGGCTCATATTTAAACTGTTTAAAATAGCTTAGGGGCGCCTGGGTGGCTCAGCAGGTTAAGCGTCTGACTCTTGATTTTGGCTCACGTCATGATCTCCCAGTTCATGAGATCCAGCCCTGAGTCGGGCTCTGCGCTGATGGCATGGAGACTACTTGGGATTCTCTCTCTCCTTCTCTCTGCCTCTCACCCATTCGCACTCTCTCTCTCTCTCAGAATAAATAAACATTAAAAAAAATAAAATAGCTTAAATCTGTTCACCATGATTAAAATTTCCAGCCACTCTTTTTCATTAAAATGTTTTACCACAGCTTTAACGGTGGCTCAGGTATTTCCGAACTGGTTTGAGGATATAATGCTTGGTCGAGAGTCCACAGTTGATTGGGCTTGTAACAGTTTGTGGGAACAAATTATAAAGTTGTCAGGCCTGTGTTTACAACATCATCACACCCCAAGGCAGCTCCCTTGTCTGTTATTTTCTGTGTGGTTACGAGAAAGAGTTTTCTTCTCTCTAGTGACTTGATTTAGAGGAAATGTATACCTTTCTCTTTAACTAATTTGGGAACTACAAATAGGACCCTGAGAATACTTAAAGTGAAAAACAAAGTATTTGTTTAATCTCCTCTACAGAATGTATTTATTCAGAGTCCATTATCTTTCATGACCTCTTTTTAAACGCGCGTACTGTTTTACTTCAAAGAAAGATTTCAAACTGGATCTTGAGTTACATAAAATTAACTCGTCTTTGTTGGGTGGCTGATCTTTTAAATAGATCTTTGCAAGTGAGACTCTTAGAACTCTGTGCCTTTGCTACAAGGAAATTGAAGAAAAAGAATTTGAAGAATGGAATAAAAAGTTTATGGCTGCCAGTATAGCCTCAACCAACCGGGATGAAGCTCTGGATAAAGTGTATGAGGAGATTGAAAAGGACTTAATTGTGAGTTTTAACCTTCATGACTTGCTATTCTAAACAGAACTGGACGTTTTACTAAGTTCTGTCATATTTTTTTTTTTTAATTTTTTTTTTCCAACGTTTATTTATTTTTGGGACAGAGAGAGACAGAGCATGAACGGGGGAGGGGCAGAGAGAGAGGGAGACACAGAATCGGAAACAGGCTCCAGGCTCTGAGCCATCAGCCCAGAGCCTGACGTGGGGCTCGAACTCACGGACCGCGAGATCGTGACCTGGCTGAAGTCGGACGCTTAACCGACTGCGCCACCCAGGTGCCCGGAGTTCTGTCATATTTTTATTCTCATGCTTGAAAGATAATTCTAACTTCAGCATTTCAAATTGGTGCAAAGGAACTAGGTCACTTGAATTTCTTCTGTCCAGTGAGCGAGACAGAAGTTGCCACTATGAGAAAACAAAGGAAAGAAAACGTTGAGCTTCCAATCTGATTCTGGTATTTTTTATCTCGCTTATTATAATTCATTATGATTTTTACACGATGACAAATCATATGTTTTATTACACTTTGAGAATTACTGGACTGATTTGTATCTTGTAAAACCTCGAAACAAGAAAATGATACCATTTGTAAATGAAATTTCTCAAAGTTTAATACCTATCGCCTGTAGAATTTAGATTAGAAGGAAATAGCTAGTATTGACCTTCAGGGAGAGGAAGTGGCTTGTGTCCACGTAAAATAGCCTGTATGTAACGAAAGTATATTTTTAACATCCTTGATTTTGTACTTACATTTTTACCTTGGTAAACTACTTTAAGCGAAAAGGGCTTGAATGTTTTATTTTTCGGTATGAACCGCAGCCACCCCTGCTGTTATTACTGGCCACCAGCCCCAGTAGAGCGCCAATCGGGGTATATAATTAGCCATTCTGCTTATTGTAGGCTGGCAAACTGCAATTACAGAACATTTTGAGCTTATTTTGCTAATTCCTTTTTTTTTGAAATGTACATTCCAGCTACTGGGAGCCACAGCTATTGAAGACAAGTTACAGGATGGAGTCCCAGAAACCATTTCAAAACTTGCAAAAGCTGACATCAAGATCTGGGTGCTCACTGGAGACAAAAAGGGTAATTCAGTTTGCGGGGAGGCGTATCTGTTAATTCATTAAGCGTTCGTAGTTCCTGTGTCCCTTGCCCAAGATGATTTTCTCAGACTTTCCATCCTGCACAAATACGGTCCATTCCTTTGAGACAGAGATGCTTTCTTTAAGAAACCCTTCTCCGTTATTCCAGCTCACGCTGGCAGCATCCTTCCAGAAACTCCCTCGGTAGCAGAGTTTTATTTCTTCTACTTGAGCTCCTGGTCAGGCCATTTTAACTGTGTGGTCAGTCTGATCTTTCCAGCCAGACGTGAACTCTTCTCGTGAAAGGACCATCCCTTTGGTCCCTTTGTCATTTGTTGGGCACAGAGCAGAACATAATACAAACTGCTGAGTAATAACTTTTGCTTTTTTTACCCATTTTATTGCCTGAAAACTATAATTAAAATTTTACACCCAAGGGATGATTTGAATTTTTAAATTTAGAGCTCAACAAGGCATTATTTGGCATTGATACCCTTCTACAAGCCTCTCATGGAAACCAGATAATTTCTCTTACTCTGACATCATTCGTGAGTTACACACTCTGATAAGCTAAGGGAAGTCCTGACCTTAAACAAATAACAGTGGGTGGTGATGGGAAAAGGGGAAAAGTCTCCAGTAGGGGCCCCATGTGAGGGTTTATGGAAATAATTATCTTTTTTTTCCATAACAGAATGATTAAGCCACATGAACTGAATGTGCTTAGTAATTCAATGAACATTGTTGTTAATCAGTTTGTATATTTATATATTTGATAATAGAGTACATTTTATAATTGAAAACTTCTCAAACCAGACTTTGAGTTCTACTTATCACAGAAAAAAGGCTTTTGCCCCCCTTTTGTGTATATACATTGCTACTGAAAAAAAAAACAAAAAACTCACCATATTTGATTGAATCTGGCTGTTACTTGAAAAAAAAATGCTTATTACTAGATAGTCAACTATTCATCAATAGGCACAACACTTAGTTTTGTTTTTTTTTTTTAAGTTTATTTATTTTAAGAGAGAGCACGTGTTAGTGGGAGAAGGACAGAGAGAGAGAGAATCCCAAGCAGGCTCTGCACTGTCAGCACAGAGCCTGATGTGGGGCTCGAACCCACGAACCAAGAGATCATGACCTAAGCCGCACCCCAACACCTAGTTTGGGTTTTTTTTTTCTTTCTGTTGTAGAAACTGCTGAAAATATAGGATTTGCTTGTGAACTCCTGACTGAAGACATGACTATCTGCTATGGGGAAGATATCAAGTAAGTAAAGGCAAAACGAGATGTGGTAGACACAGCAAATACGGAGAAATGGGAGCGAGAATGTCAATTCAGACAGTTTTCCTCACATTTAAATAAGGCAAGAGAACACAGGTAGTTCCAGGTTATCATGGCTGGATCTCCTTTTGAGCAAGTTTTAGTGTTAGGGGAACTTGAGGCCCTTATTCACCCTTTCAGGGCCATTTCTCTGCATTTCTTACAAGTCCTCAGTGCTTGCCTGCTGATAAAAAAAAAAAAAAAAAAAAAAAAAAAAAAAATGAGCCTGAGACATCACCAGCCAACTGATGCTGGAGTGCTGCCTTTTCAAGGAATTGTAATTTTGTAAGAAACAAACAGAAGGAAAGAAACCGCACAATTTTGCTTGGAAGGAAACGGGTGGATGGGACACACCTCTAGTCTCGTCTGGATGGGGCAGGATATTTCGAAGCGTAGCCTGTCCTGAAACACTCCAGAGCCCAGAGTCATAGGAGACCTGGAAACGTGTAAGGAGAAGCCCCACCTGGCGGTAAAGCCAGAAACGTGCGCCAGAAGTTACCTGGTGGTGCTATCTTGACAGTTTTATTTATTCCTCAAGTCCTTGCCTTACGACCCCTCCCCTGGGCTGTCATGAGGCCAAAAGCTGTGAACTTGCCTCATTTGGTAAGAGGCTGGAGGCAGTCGATGGAGGTCGTTAGTCTTCTTTCCAATGATGGTGACATAGCTTTTGCGAGTTGTTCCAGTATATTGGGCACTCGGGCTAAATTAGACACACAAAATCAGCGGCTCTAAAATCTACATCCATCAGTTGTTTGAATGCATAAACCATGCCTCTTGGTGCTTTTAGCTTTTAAAAAATAGCAACAGACAAATAAATAGTAACATGTTTACTTAAGTAGTTTCTTGGTTTCAAATACTTTGGTTAATTGCCAGAAGGTTTTATTTCTTGTAGATGGGGGCCCTAATAGATTTCTGGTCTCTCTTTCTAAAGTGTTGAAAATTGGGCCCTGAGCTACATTAGAAGATAAAATTTATGCAAGTAGCAAATTTTATGATCATGCTCTTAGCTAAGTTAACCTTTCTAGAGGGCTGAACCATCTATCTCTCTAGGTGGTTCCTAAAAGGATGATTCCTATAGAATGGTTTGAATGGGTAACTTCATACTTTTTTTCTTTCAGTGATTTGTCTTCGTCACTCCCTATTTTCAACTTGAAAATGAGAAATTAATGTGGAAAAAAGAATAAAAAATACCTAATCCTCTAGTGTAGTGGTTCTCAACTGGGGGTGGTTTTGCCTTGCAGGGAAATGTGGCAGTCTGACAGTTGACACTGAGCTTAGCCTGAAAGACTCAAGAGGAGGCTCCTTTTCCATACTGAGCCCCTCTATTCAATTCCACATTACAACTTTTTCCACTTGAGGGTATAAATTTCCTTGCTCTGTGAAAACAACAACCCTAATCTGTTCTATTATGTGTTGATTATCTTGTCGGGAGTTAACGATCTTGCTATTTCTACTTTGCACTCAGCGCCCCTGCTTGAATTATGCCGAGATATTAACATTCTGGTGCAGCCATTTCTCAATGTTTCCAGACATCATGAATCTTTGGTTGTTTTAATATGGAAGGAAAGAGAGGTACTACTGGCTTCTAATAGGTAGAGACCAGGGATGCTGCTGAATATCCTACAGGGTAATAGTCAGCCACATACAACAAAGTATTACCTGGCCCAAGACATCAATAGTGCTAAGGTTGAGAAACTTGCTCTTGAAGGTGGAGAATGGTGGCTGTGTGTAACAAGGAAAGCTGTGGGCTGAGAGTAAGGAGACCTTAGTCTTCAATCTCTTTGCCTATCAACTTACTCCAGGTGAATCACATCCTCTCATGGGCTTGGACTTCCTTAGGTGTAACATGAAGAGTTTGGATAAGATGTTCATGGAGCCTTCCACTCTAAAATTCCATGACTAATTTGTCTATCACATGAATGTGTTACATGTGGTCTTCTCAATTACTTTTTGATACAAAGCACTGAGAATTTCTCAAAAGCAAACATAACTTTATGTGGAAGTAAGCTTCTTTTTGCCAAATAGCAGCCACTGTTTATAATACACTGTATTATAAATTATAATACACTATATACCCAGGTATAATAATTCAGATCAAGATTGCCTTCCTTCTGTTGGTCCTGAGCATATTTTCAATTGTATCTTCCTTTAGCTGTCTTTGGCAAATAACGGAACACCAAGAACAGGGTGCCCCGTGGGGGAGGAATTAGGACTTAGATAAGATTATGTCACCTGATTTAAAAGTGGACTAAGGATTTGAATAGACTTTTCTCCAAAGAGGATATACCAACGGCCAACAAGTATATGAAATGATGCTCACTCATACACTCAAACATATGAAATGATGCTCAGACATTAAGGAACTGCAAGTTAAAACCAGAATAAGTTATCACCTCACACCCTTTCAGGATGGCTCCTATCAAACAAACAAACAAAACCAGAAAATAACAAGTATGGGCAAGCATGTGAAAATTGGAGTCCTTGTGCACTGTTGGTGGGAAAGAAAATGGTGTAGCTGCTATGGAAACCAGTACGGTGGCTCCTCAAAATAGTTAAAAAGAGAATTACCATATGATCCAGCAATCCCACTTGTGGGTATATATCCCAAAGCATTGAAAGCCAGAACTCAAAAGAGATATTTGCACACCCACATCCATAGCAGCACTATTCACAATAGCCAAGAAGCAGAAGCAACCCAATCGTCCACTGATGGATGAATGGACAAACAAAATGTAGTATATCCATACGCTGGAATATTATTAAAG